CATTATTTTTTTATATTATTTTTCCTTCAGGTTCGATGTTTGAAAGATTATGGAGAATTTGAAATTGATGATGGCACAACAATTCTGCTGAAGAAGAATAGCCAGGTATTTATAAGTAGACATGGTGCAGTTAACTAATGACCAAGATGGAAACAGTTAATTTTTGTTTTTAGAAGTTTGGAACACAAGAAGCTGTTCTTTATTAGGCCATTGGTTAAAGCTAGCCACTTCTGAAAATGTTGTCAGGAAAGCTGTGTGGAGTAGTCACCAATCAAGAGTGACTCTGGCACACAAAAAACTATCTAGCCCTGAATAATCAATTCATATAACATGAGGATCCTATGCTTCACCTGTAATCTGAGTCTTTTAACTGGAGTTTTGGAGCAAGGACTCCGTTCAGGTGCCATAGTTTTCAAATTTCTGAACTTCTTCATTATTAATTGCAGATAAATGAATGAGGAAGATCTCCCATGACACAGTAGATTAGAAGAAGAGGCAGTATAGGCAGTCCTCAACATATGACCACAATTGGGCTCAAAATTTTCATCACTAAGCAATGCAGTTGTATAGCTGCATCACTTAGCAATGACAATGCCTATAGTTCAAGTTGCCATTGTTACTGAATCTCATAGTGTTTAAGTGAGGCAATTTCCTAGGCCTCCTACAAACAGTGGGGAAGGTGGCACGTTGGCTTTAATCTTCTGCTGCCATGGCTTCAAAGGATTCATTGATGGGCAGAAAAATGATTTATAGATTTAAAAGACTGTCCTTGAATAATCAGAGATTTACTATATTGTCTTATCAAGAGTGGTAGAGTTTACTATTGCCCTATTAGTAAATGAATATTCCAAGCAGCATCAGAAATTATTCTTTCGATTTCCCATAGATAAGAAAAACATGTATGCAGAAGAGAGAATTTGATCAGTCTGGGCCACAGCGCATCTATGAAACCTTTCTTACCTCTGTGCCAGATCATTCTAATACATCTTGAGCATTTAAATTGTAATTCCATATACACTTAGAAGGAAATTAAATCCAGCAAGATTCATTTTGAATGAATGGATATTAAATTAAAAATTATTATAATTCTGTTTATGAACTAAATATTTTTTCATTGGAAGATGATTGAGGGAAACATATTTTTCAATGCAGAAGAATTAAATACACAAAATCTCATTGCTATTCTTAAGGATTTTCCTTTACAAATCCATTGGTTAAGCTTTGGAGGCTGATGTTAGCCTAAGTATCTAGAGGTACATTTGAGAGAACTACTATATAGATTAGCTACAGTACAGTGGGATTAATACAGACAATACCTACATAATTTAATGTTATTTTTGATGTTGCCTTGTGGGTTTAGGTGGTGCATAAAAAAGATAAATGTAAGTATTTCCTTAGATTTGAAAATGGGTTCTTTTTTTTTTTCTTTAGCATTTCTTACCACGCTGGAAATGTGAACAATTAATCAGGCAAGGAATTCTGGAGCACATCCTATCATGAGCTGGGTTTACAAGACTGCTAAAATACACATAAATTAAATATTTTTGCAGATTTCAAAATAGGATCAAATAGCATTTTTTTCTCCTTTGATAATCTTTTTTGAAAAGCACAAAATAAGTTTAAAGTTATTATTACAAGCACACAAATAATATTTTGTGAAGAGGAAAGATGTGATATGTACAAGACCTTTCTCCAAAAATAAGTAGATTGTTTTTGTTCATTGCCTCAATTGTTATTTTTATTTTTATCTTTTTGGATTAGAGTTACTTTGTTTTGGTCCTCTCTGGCCTTTTTATATAAAAAAAAATTAATTGACCAAATGCTGTAACTCTTTCACTAGTAATTACTATATATTGCTTTGTGCTATTTGAAATCATGTAGTAATCCTTTGTAAATATTTAAATATTTTTATATGATGTTATGTGATTTCTATAGTAGATGTGAGTGTTATGACTACAGTCACCTTTGTGATGTTTTTAGTTATCATGCTAGCCTTAAAAGTACCCATGGAGTTTTGGCAGAATTCACCTAAACTCAACGTTGTATAATAAAATTTTCATAATAAGTTTTTAACTGATCAAGAGAATCTCTTTCTTCGTAGTTTTAGTGACATCAGAACTATGCAATCTGAGTGGCTTATTTCACTTTAGATGAAGGAAGAAGTATGTTTTTTGTTAGTGCACATTTGTTAATATAATGAAACAAGTTTAAAATTTATGACTTCAATAATTTCAAGCACAGATTAAATACAATAGGAAGCCAAAAAGGAAACGCACTAAGGCATCTTTGAAAGAGTGTTGCAGATTTTAAAAAATAAATAATTAAAATATTTTATCTTTTGAAAGTACTGTATAAAACAGTATCTTTAATTCTCATTCCAACCAAGCAGTCCAAAAAATAGGTGGAGTTCTTGGAGAACAAACTTGGATATACAGTTCCCAAAGTGTATTATCCTTTAAAGCACAGGTGTCAAACTCGCCGCATCACATGACGTGTCGCGACGTATCCTTTTTTTTGCATTGCCGGAGCTGGGGTGGGCGCAGCCTCCACATGATGCAACCAGCACATGGGCCAGCAGTTTGACACCCCTGCTTTAAAGTAATCAAAGTGAGCTCCATCCCAAATGGAGACTGAAATGCTAGACTGAAATGGCAAATTAATTTATCAAAATGTATTTAGGTTTGTATCTCAACTAATAATATACTCCTGTCTTGTGCCTGTTTTCTGTATTTTTTCCTTTTCCCTCTTTTCATAGAATTTCCTCCATTGCAGAGGGGAGAGATTGCTCGAACAACTTACCTGCTCCTTAACTGCTCTTCTTTACAGCACAGCATTTTCCTAAAAAGTGCTCAACACAGGCATCTGAGACCCTTAGTGTTAACAAGCTCAGTGACCTTGATTAATTACTAGCACTCCGGGCCAGCTTCCACTGTTATCTGAAATTGGCACGATCCTAATCAGTTTCAGCCTAAAGTTTTTCTTTTGCCTCCAGCCAGGAGCTAAGTAAACAGAAAGCACAAAGGCATTCCTTTCGATGTATATCCCCCCCCCATGTGCTTGCTTACTCTCTTGTAGTCTCTTCCTCTCCAATTAGTACAAATGCTATACATTAATTTCCCCTTGCTAATTATCCCAGAACTGAAGTGGGGATTTTAAAGGACAGGGAAATGGGGGGGGGGGGGAACTGGCTGTAAGATTTATCTCTTTTTCAAAGCTTCCTTGCAAGCCCAAGTTCTGGAACATAAATCTTCCCTGCTGTTAGGGCTCACTCAGTTGTTGGAAGTTGTATCCTCTTGATGCTGCATCTGTGGGCAATTTCTTAATAAGCCTTTCTCAAGATTTGTTGCTGTCTTGGCATCTCCCTTTGTGTTCTTTATTATCGCCCTGCAAATTCTAAATCAAGTGTAGATTCACAGGTTGACAACTCCCTTCTTTGATGAATACATAAAATATAAATTGGTAGGTTGTTTTTCTCTACTTGCAAATGTGATTTCAGATAAAGCACAAATTCTACATCCCCAGGTTGAACTGAATGTTTCCATTTTAGTCAAGGAGCCATGAAAAACAGTAATTTATGTGTAGAGTGCTTTTTAAAAAAGTGCTAAGGGAATAAACAACCTCACTATGCCTTTTTGTGGTTCCTGGACTGCATTCAGATTATCTTCTGTAAACAGCTTTCCCACACCGGGGTAGCTTCTTTTATCAATCTCTGCAAGTTATTACTGAGAATGGAGAAATGGCAGCCTGCATGATTATCCCTATTTGTCTCTGCCTTTCCTAGGAAACATAGCACTTCTTGTGGATGATTTAAGTTACTAGGCATAGTATTGTGGCCTTTGAGTTTGCAACTCAAAGGTATTAATACAACAGAGTATTAGGCCATTCCAGACAAGGTGATGTCTAATTTAGGGTGATTTCATCTTCTAACTTTGAATCCCTAGACTGGTCCTAAAGTGCTATTGGAAAATGCAAGGTCTGCATGCAATAAGACTGCATCCATTTATGATTTGATGGTGGACAAGGAGATGGATTTGAGCTGTATTACTGAGACTTGGCTGGCAAAAATAGCAATGTTGCTTTCCCTGAAATCTATTTATTCAGGTTTGGTCCTATATCAACTCAAGCTGGGGATGGGAGTTAGTTACAGCCCTTTTCTCCCAGCCACACATAGTCATCCCCTTTTGAGCTCATAGTTTATTTCAATATTTTGCATATAGTGACAGTTAGTCACATGTCTAACGTTCCTAGTGAAAATATAGCACTTTAATTTAGATTGAAAAGGGGAGCCTCATTGGTTATCCAGGTGAAATCATATTTTTATGGTAATAGCATAAATGTTGCAAATTCCTTTTAAAGATATGAAGAGTGCATTGGTGGCACAACACACAGTATCTGCTGTGGCCATTAAAGTCAGGGGATGAATATGAATATTTTTTGCCACCCTAGCAAAAGGAACATGTCTGCTTAGCAAAGCCATTTATACAATAAAAAACCAGCATGAGAACAAACTATAGAGATTCTGTTTAATTAAAATGTTCCAGACACCTAAAGCAAAAAAATAAGGGGGGGGGGGGGGTTGGTTCATTGGGTTCTTGTTTACAATTCTGCTAAAATAAAATAGCACATTAATTCAATGAATAATATTTTACACTTGCATAAAACTGTGTGTATGTAGACACACACATTCACATTCTCTTTAGCCAGTGTATAGACAGAGGGACAAGAAGTTGAAATCACAAGAAATGTCCAGTCCCCAAATAATACTAGAAGATCCCGTTTCTGTGAAAATTATCCATAAGGCACTAAATGGTTACACTTTTCCATTGGAAAAAATTGGATGTTTATTGCTGTAAACCTTGTGTTTCTCCATCTTCAAGAATTCCAAAAAATGCATTTGCTTGTCTATGGAGATTCTCAGTCATCCAGACCATGGTTGCCTCCTGAAAAAGCACCTTTGAGATATTTGCTTACTTTTCTCCAATTTCTTTAGCTAGCATTTGTATTTTCCCTATTCTGAAGTGGTGGATATCTCATAGAGTGCTGTCCATGAGAAATGAATAGTTTTTTGTATTCAGTCTGAAATATGTAGAACAAACTTGACCAATTAATGTCTTTACTACTGGTTGCCACTTAAAACAGCTTCATGGAAACTGATTCATTTAAATGAATAATTCATTGAGATGCAAATGTGATTTCTCCAACTAGCTTATTGAGGGATGAAATTTTTTCTTCTAGAATTAAGTTCCTATTTTCTGTGCTCTTCTGCATCTGTTCTGTAACTTGCAGTATTTTCATCAGATGTGCATTCTTCACATACAGGTCCTTCAGCAATAGATTAGACTTGGCATGTTTTTCAAACTGAAAAGGGAATGAACATTCCATTAATTACTATTAATTACTATTCAGATACACCAATAACAAAACAGCAGAATACAATGTGTTTAACATTTATCTAAATTAAAAAGAGCTTTTTAAACTTCATTGCCAGACTGATTCATTCTGAAGAGATTCCCATGTAAAGTAACCCAATAAATTATGCTATGCCCCTATAAATCCTGAAAAAAAGAACACTTTATTTCACAGCTTATTAAAATAATGGTTCTTCAGATGAAACTTTGAGCAATAATAATTAGTAACCAATTTCAAAGTTACGAGTGACAGTTTGATATAGTGTTTAAAGACATGGGCTAGAAAACAGAAGAGCCGGAGTTTTATTACTGCTTTAGATACAAAGCCAGGTGGGTGAGTTTGGGCCACTCACTCTCTCTTAAGCTAGGAAGAAGGCAATGGCAACTACTGAACAATGTTGCTCAGAAAATGACTGGGAGTACAAACATAAAGCTGAAATATATTAAAAGGAAGTAATAATGTTTGGGATAGGTAATGAAATAAATTCTTCATTCTCTGTTCTTTAATTTGAAACTTGTGCACGTGAGTATGTAGAGTGAATGGTTAGAAATCTGCTTGCACAATATTCAGTGTGGTCTTGAGAGAAGGCAAATACTTTAGGGTAATTTAATGTATATATTGTAATGCATTCCAGAAAACTTTTGTCTATATACTGTTTTAAAACTGCAAACAATAGACAACGATTTGTCCATTTCTAACGATCTATTTCTGCTCCATGCATAGAAAGCAACAAATCCACTCTTGCGCTCACTTGTTCCTTAAGTTGAGACATCTTCTCCTGAAGCAACATTTGTGTATTCTTCAAATTCATTTCTACCTCCCCCAACTTCTCCTCCATTAATCTATGTGAGTTTTCATATTCTTCCTGCAGAAAGAAGAGCATAAATTCTGAGCATCGTTTACTGTAAATCCCAACACAATTTAACCATAAATGAAAGCTAAAGGAATGGCCCGAGAACAACTGTTGATTGCAAAGTTGCTACAAGATTCTTTATATTTCAGAAGAAATAGCCTAAGCTATTCATCATACTTGTAAATTTAATAGTGATGGTAGTCACAAACTTCTGGTATTGCACTCTAAATATTTATGAGTCATTTTAGATAAGAAACATTAACCACAACACATGGTTCTGAGTTTCCTTGTAAAAGCAAGCTTCAGTTACCTACACTGTTTTCATCAGAGGTTTTTGTGCTCTTGACTATTAAGCAATTGCCCAGCATTTTAAACCACAGTTTAAAATCATAGTAAAAAAGTAGCTACTGAGATTGATTTGTAGATTATTTCTCCTAAGGAGAGGAAAAGGAGAATGTACCAATCTGAGACTTCTCTCAGAATGAGAGAAACCACATTGCTTCTGGTTTAGTTTTAGCTTAGTGTATTGTGTGAATCTAGCAACGTACCGTTGCCCCAGCCTTGCCTCCCCCCGCGACCCCCTCCTCTCCAGCAGCCCCCTGAAGGAGAGTCGCCCCCGAGCGTGGCCCACATGGAGCAGCGCAGCCAAGGACATGGCAGCCAGGCAGAGTAGACAAGACTCTGCCCTCACACCACATCATGCAGTTGATGCTGCAGGGCGCGGGCAGAGGGTGTGGCCACCATAGCGCTGCTGGGCTGCCTGGGCGATCTGCGGGGGGCCCTGGAGGCGGTGAGTGGTCCTGTGGGCAGCCGGGCAGGGGATGGGGGGGCAGAGCAGGGCCAGGGGGTAGAGCGGGGGTGGGGCCAGTTTTTGGGCACTCAGTCTCTAAAAGGTTCGCCATCACTGGTTTAAGCCTTAGAGATGTGTTAAAAGGCCCACTATGACTTATTCAACAAATCATGGTAAAACAAGTTAAGCAGCTTATTTCTATTCATCACACCAGCAACTGCATTCTTGGTAGGAACCTAAATGAAGGCTTAAATAAACCTCCTTCTTACTTGATAAATAGCCAGTTGCCATTTCATTTGTTCTGCCTGTAAGTCTAGATCTCCTTGCAACTTTCTGACTGTTTTCTGTTCTTCTGCCAATCTGGTTTCAAGCTCAACAAGATGATCTTTAGGTACTGTATTGTCCATCTGGGTTTTTAGTTGTTGCAATTCATGGGCGTGCTGAGACTCAGCTTGGTTTAATCTGGTGTTAGCTTCTAACAACTACATTGTGAGAGAGAAAAACAGACCGGCACGCTAAGATTAGCAATACTACAGAAGAAAAACCTACCATAGCAATAAGTCAAAATATTTGCATACCAAAAATCATTCTAAAAGTCAATTCCACTCCATAGGTAAAATAAATGCTAATTTTTTAAAATCAACTTTTTATCTAAAATTAAATTTGATATATAATTTAATCTTATTTGGAAACAATTTCTAGATTACAATTCAACTCATGGAATAGTGCTACACCCAAATTTGGATTCTAAGATTTGTATTTTAATTAGGCATATTGTCTAAACCAGGGCTTTTCAACCAGTGGTACGAGTACCACCTGTGGTACATTGGCACCTGGCAGGTGGTACGCGACCATCCTAGAAAAGTGGTAGTGGGGGAGGGGAATGAGCTGAACCGGTGGCAGCACCGCACAAGCCTGAGCGAGAGATGGCTGGAGCTGCAGGGCTGTCAGGGCTCAGCGGAAGCGCCAGGATCAGCGCCAGGCTCCAGCTGGAGCTCGGCGCTGATCCTGGTGCTTCTGCTGAACCCTGAAGAAGCACCAATCAGCTGGAATGTTGCAGCATCTCCAGGGTCTTGTGATTTACATTCAGATGCTTGGCAACTGATTCATATTTATGACGGTCACAGTGTCTCAGGATCATGTGAAGTGACCAAAACCTGCTGCAACCACCCAGCAGACGGGGGGAATAAAAACCAAACACCCCCCCACCCCACCCCCGCTGCCAATCATCAACAGAAATGCCTCACAACAATGAAAACCTCGGACAGGAGGAAGAGCGCCACCGGGCGGGCAAGCAGGTGTCTTGTGGCTTGGGGGGCACTTTTTTCAGTGCCGTTGTAACTTCGAACAGTCACTAAGCGAACTGTTGTAAGTCGAGGACTACCTGTACTTTATCACTTTTTTCCTTTTTCTTTTTTCTTTTTTTGGTCATCAAGTTTTTGACACCTTGCTAGGCGACTGGTCGTACTCGGATATTGCCATATCCTAAAAGTGGTACAATGGGTGAAAAGGTTGAAAAGCCCTGGTCTAAACATTATTTATAGTATTCTTGTAGTGTACAGGTAGTCCTCGACTTACAGTGAGAATGGGGAATTTCTGTCAGTAAGTGATGCAATTATAAAGGGCAACTGCATTGCTTAGCAACAGTAATCTATCAATCCCAATTGCTATTGTTAACTTGAATCCCACAGTTGTTAGGCAAGGTAACTTCCTGCCAACTTCGCACAACAGTGGGGAAGTCAGGAGGAAGTTGGAAGGACCATAGGCAGGTAACTGGCTGCTGCTGGGAGGGAGCAAGGGGAAGAGGGAGCAAGGGGAAGGTCAGAGACAATATGTGAGAGATGTGGTAGGGGGAGAGTAGGTGGGCAGGTGTGAAAACTGGTCTGCACTGATCAGGAGATGTGTGCAGGGATGCCACACAGATCAAGGAGGGTGTGCAGGAGAGCATGAGTTGATGTGTGCAAGTGAGAGTGTACTAGAAGCCTCACATAGGTCAAGGAGGGTGTGCTGGCATCCATGAGAGGCACTGCACACGTCAGAATGGTGCACGGGGATGCAAGGCTATATGCAAGGGGGGGGACATGGGTCAGAGAGGGTATGTGGATTGCACAAGAGGTGCTGTGTGGGTCCAGGAGGGTGCATGAAGATGCACGAGAAGTGCTGCACAGGTTAGGAAGGGTACATGGAATTGCATAAATGCCCGGCACAGTGAGTGCAGAGGGGCTGGGTAGTGTGTGTTGGTGGGGAAGATTTATCCCAGTGATCTCCCATTTTGCCTGCCAATTTTCTCATTGACTTTCTAGGAATGTGGCAAATGTGATTGTGGGGCACTTGGCAACTGGTCATTCTTGTGAACAGGTTTCCCAAACATCCATATTATAATCATGTGACTACAAGGATAGCCAGAAATCCAAGGATCTATTGTGATCATTCATTCATTCATTGCTGTGTAACTTCAATCAGTTGCTAAATGAATGATGGTAAGTTGAGGACTGCCTGTATTATTATTTACTTTATCTCTGGCAGCAAATATTGTCCCTCAATCAACTAAATCATCATAATCCTACATCAGGTTAAAAAGCAAGGCTAAAAGTCAAAATAGTTAGGCAAAATAGTCTTACATTCATGATCTCCCTAATAGATATGTTATCTGAATGCTATCTTGCCTTATCACAGATTTTTCTACATGAAATGTTACAGCAGAGGTGAGCAGTTGTTTGACGCCACAGGCTACATTTAACACTTGGGGGCAAAGTAGGCAGGGCCATATCACACATTTGAGATGGGAATTTGGGAAATTTGCTTTTTCTCAGCTGTAATGTGGCTATTTTAGAGCTTACACTCGTTTTCATCTGCTCTCCACCACAAAATAGTATCTGGGCAATCAGTTTTTAGAAATCATGACCAGGGGAACTAAAACGGCTGCAAAAGGAGGACTGAATATCTACCTGCAGCCCTGAGGCCTCAGATTGTCCATCACTGTAGTACAAAGTTTATGAAGTGTCATCTTACTCACAACAGTGACCTCTCTCCTAGATCAGCCTTACCTTTTCCTTCATTGATTTCAGGTCTTGATCTAGCATGTCCTTTTCGCCTTGCCATGTCAACTCTTGCTGAAAATGCTCCTTTTTCAGCTCAGCAGAGGCCTCCCGAAATTGCTTGGCTATTATCATAGCTTCTTGTTCTTTTTGTCTCTCCAATTCAACAAACCTCTGATTCAGTATCTTGATTGTTTTCTGACCGGCTTTATTCTTGCTGCTTAATTCAACAAATTCATGGTTTAGCTGAGCAGTCCTAGTGTTCAGCTGTAAGATGTCCTCTTTGTAGCATTTGTTCTGAAACAAGATTTCAGGCATTCAGTGTCGTGATATTCATCATAATCACATTTGTGCATACACAAAACAAGATTATAAATTACCCAAGGGATCAGGTAGGGATTTCCTATATTCAAGTTTTAGATCAATAGGGGTTGTCTTAAAACAAATGTGTCATATTGCTACAGAGATTTCTTGGAGAAAGGAAGGGAGGAAAGAGGAAAACTCTCCTGATTGCTTTTTAAAAAAAAAAATACATTAACTGAATTTTTGATGGTAGGGCAAATAATGTAAACCTATATACAAAGTATTAAAGAAAAATCTATAATTCTTAATTCTCAAAAGCTTTAGGGGATTGTAGATATGATTATTTTTAACAAACTTTTGAAAGTACACAGCGATCATTTTAGCGCTAGAAATTCAAACAGAGTTCATCAGACAGCTTTACTGGGCAACACATTGACTGTATTCATATAGTGTATGAATCCACTGATTGTTTAACCATGGATTATTCAATAAACTATAAACTGCCAAATCAGACTCAAATACCTTATGGATTAATACAGTGTACAAATCTGAACCTTGGTAGCATTGGTTACATGGATAAGATTAGAAGTACTGATACTCGGATTATCCAACCACTTTCTAAAGTTGCCCAATTCTTTTTAGATTTGTTTGTGTCTGGATAATTATCGCCTGACTTAAGATGCAGGAAAAATAACTGCTGAAATGTATCTAGGAACTCAGCAATCAACCTTTTATGCACACAAGTTATTTTTTCCATGAAGTCCAGCACTATCAACCCTTGGGAAGACCCATATATATTGCATGTAAAAGGTCCCTGGTTCAATCCTGATAATGTCCAAATACGACTGGGAAAAGCTTCTGTTTAAATTCCTGGATAATTAGTAAGAGTCCCATGTGAAAACAGCCAGTTTCCATATTTCAATAACTGGCATAAGTTCTTCACAAATTCAGGTACAGATCCTTCTCACCACCTGCTACTGAATCCTTTTTTAAAAAAAGGTGCCATAAGATAAATCATGCAAAACATATAATGATTTCATCTTTCTAAAATGTCCCCCTGCCCCCTCCGCCTACTTTTGACTGAAATTTATAACTTCTTGGCTTTTGAGTGTTCTAGTACTGCACTGTTTCAAATTCAGGCTCTGTGAGAAGGTAGATCAAGTGGTACTCTAGTCACTTTATATAGTTACCAAGTCATTTGATTCTTTTATTTCATACATCATCTTCTCTTTTTCCATTTTCAATTCATCAATGTGCTTTCTGGAAAAAAAATAATTAACTGAAGCATACTTTGTGTATCAATATTAAAATGAGATTTCGAATCACTCTAAATGGTCTTTCATGGATCTACTGTACCTCTATAATTTTAGTTTACAACACTGAATTGGCTCAAGACAGGTTTAACTGAGCCATGTCTAATTTTGATGGAGTTGGCAGTATTCTCAAGTACAGGTAGTCCTCGACTTATAAGTGTTCATTTAGTAACTGTTCAAAGTTACAATGGCACTGAAAAAATGGGACTTATGACCATTTTTCACAGTTATGACCTTTGCAGCATCTCCATGATCATGTGATCAAAATTCTAATGCTTGGCAACTGGTTCATACTTATGATGGTTGCAGTGTCCCTGGGGGTCATGGGATCCCCCTTGGCAACCTTCTGACAAGCAAAGTCAATGGGGAAGCCAGATTCACTTAACAATCAGGTTACTAACTTATCAACTGCAGTGATTCACTTAACAACTGAGGCAAGAAAGGTCATAAAACAGGGCAAAATTCACTTAACAAATGTCTCAGTTAACAACAGAAATCTTGGGCTCAATTGTGGTCGTAAGTCAAGGACTACTTATACCCCTTTTGCTAAGATTTCTATATGACAATGGGTGCCTCTATAAGATGAATATCCATGGAATAGGAAAGTAAAGGTAAACAATGTGTGCTCTACCCACCCATCTCTCCTGAGTCAATCTTCAAGTTGTATGTTGAAAGCCTCTGCTTTCATAAAACCTAGGCTAACTTCTATTGGCAGGCTTTTAAAAACTCTTAAGAGCTTTATAGAGTTAATTATAGGTAGTCACTAGGGAGCCACCTAAAAAGGCAGCATACAATTTATAACAAATAAAAGATAATTTCTGTGAACTGATTTTTGTTATTTTTTTGAAAATACTAAAGCTAATTAGGCTGTATATAAAGAATAACTCAAAGAAATACCAACTGACAACTTCCTAGTTCTGATTATCACATTTCACAAAAATAGCCCCATCTTTTTGATACACGATGAAAAGAAAAGGGTCTATATCAGTGATGGCGAACCTTTTAGAGACTGAGTGCCCAAAAACTGGCCCCGCCCCCGCTCCATCCCCTGCCCCGCCCCCACTCCGCCCCCACCCCGCCTGCCTGCAGGGCCACTTACCGCCTCCAGGACCCGCCACACATCACCCAGGCAGCCCAGCAGCGCCATGGCGGCCACGCTCTCTGCCCGCGCCCTGCAGCATCAACTGTGCGCGATGGGGCATGAGGGAAGAGTCTTGTCTACGCTGTCTGGCTGCCATGTCCTTGGCTGCGCTGCTCCGCGTGGGCCACGCTCAGGGGCGACTCTCAGGGGGGCTGCTGGTGAGGAGAGGGTCGCGGGGGGAGGCAAGGCTGGGGCAATGGCATGTGTGCCCACAGAGAGGGCTCCGAGTGCCGCCTCTGGCACCCGTGCCATAGGTTCGCCACCACTGGTCTATATTGTACTATAGACAGTTTTCTTATTAACTAAGGAAAGATGTTGCTATGGTTTTTTATTGCTCTCTTCCTAAGCTGTATCAGCAAATGGTAGCACCTGTTTGATCTTGGCTAGGCTTTGAAGCCAAGCAGGGTTGTGTCTGGTTATACAACCAAGGAGGATACCAAGGAATGTCAGGGCTATAGTCTAGGCTGGGAAACTGAAAAGCATTATAAAAGAAACCAGTAACAAACTGCTTCTTTATTATTGCCAAGAAAACTGCATCAACGGGTCCTCAAAGACGCCAGAAATTATACTTGTATACAAAAGAAAGTATACTTTTATTTTCCATTTAAAGATTCAATTTCATGTATTAACATAGCAGAATTTTTCCTACGTATGCATAAAGAATTACTATTGGTACTGGCAAGTATCCATATTTAGAATCCTAAGAATATAATGCTTCCAAACCTCATAAAATGTATCTCCATTTCATGCTTCATCTTCAAGTCATCTTCCAATCTTTCCCTTTCCTGGGCCAGCCTCTGGCCTAAGTTTGAAATTTCTTTAGCATAGCACTGCTCTATTTCTGCCCTCTCCTTCTCAAATCTCTTCATTTCTTGGATAGGATCCAGCTTCTGAACTTGGCTTTTCAAACCATCAATCACTTCCTGGCATTTCACATTCAGTTCTTCCAAGGCATTCTTTTGTTCTTCCAATTCACTAATCTTGATCTTGAAACTTTGCTCAATGTCCTTCCTTTCTTTCTCAAAATTATTTTTTAATAGTTCTATTTCCCATTCATAGTAATTGACCTAGAACAGTAATTTTTTTTTAAAAAAGACCAGAAATCATTTCAGAATATTTATTTAAAGTTTAAATGCTTTCCTCACCCAAGAAATTTGACATTTCCAGTGCATGGAATTTATATACAAAACAATAGCTATCTTTAAAAAAAAGAGTATCTTGTTCTTCTAGAGTTTGCATGGTTTGCAGGAATTAATTATCAATTTGTTTAGACCATACCTACTCTCCATTATGAAATTACACTCAGAAATCCTCTCATTCAGCTATAGCATTGGCTTCTATAATACTATCATTTATCAGAGTGATTTCAAAAAGCTGAACAACCTGCATAAATGAGTTAAGATATAAATCTTTACTCAGATTGGAGAAATGATGATTGCCATTGTACCAACAAAACTTAGAAGACTATGGATAATTCAACAGTGCCTCTATTGAAGCTACTCTGTGGAGATATTTCATGCAAAAAAAATTAGTTCTGCTGATTATAAGTGCTGTACTTATAGATTAGATTCTAAGTTTTGAGTTTTCCTACTCACCTTAGTTTCTAGCTCTGTTTTCATAGTTTGATTCTGTTCTTTTAACTCTTCCACCAGAAGTTCTGTTTCTATATTTACTGAATAGGGTTCAGATGATATGAAAGTGTCATCTATAAGTAAATTTATTATTAGAAAAACATAGAGACAAGAAAACAAATACTGGTTAACCCCTAACTATAAGATTTAAATTATGGAGGTTATATTCAAAAATAAAACATCTATGAGGAAAAAAAAATAACCACAGCCCTAAACAATGTTGTTTGAGAAAACCATAAGGGCTGCACGTTGGAAGAATCAAGAAAAAAAATATAAATTTGATTTGATTTGATTTTGATTTGATTTTTTGATTTTATTAAATTTATACCCCGCCCTTCTCCCGGAGGACTCAGGGCGGCTTACAGCCAGTTTAAAACAATGGTACAGTACAATACAAAATTTAAAAAAGATTAAAAATAACTATTCAAATTTGGCCGCTTCTACTAAAAATTTAATTTAAAACCCCTTTAAAATACCCCTAGGCCAGTCCTGCCTGCTGAAATAACCAGGTCTTAAGGGCGCGGCGGAAGGAGGGGAGATCCGGGATCACCCGGATCTCTGGGGGCAGCTCGTTCCAGAGGGTGGGTGCTCCGACAGAGAAGGCTCTCCCCCTGCTTTTGATACTGGTATGCTTTTGATACTGGTATCTTACTCATAAGGGAATGAATTGGATTAGATTAGGGTTATTTAAATTCTAGGATGCTATAGTGCTTGGGAGATTTTAGACAATCATCCCTTACCATTTTGGCCTGTGGTTGGTAGGTGCTGGTATCCAAGAAAATGATCATCCTTTTCAATGTTGTCTTAAAAAAAACATATTCAATGATTAAATGTAGTTAAAAACTGTTTTAATATGAAAAGGGAACTTGTAGCCTTCATCTTCTAGCGGTAGAACAAATCAAGATTGGATGCAATAAATAATAAAATAAATGCATCTTTAGCTTTAGCATTGAATTGTAGCAGCAGAATACCCAGACAGTAACACAGTAATGTCTGTGCTGAACTGCTTTCCTTAACTTGAAGTGGAGGAAAAGTATCATAGAACAGAAAACATTAAAGGCTTAAAACCCTTCTCACCATGTTGAACGGCCCTGAATATCTCCTTGCATGAAGAGTCTTTCCCATCCTGGTGAAGTCCAGATGTGTTGAATCATCTTCTAGAATGTCCTCTATGTGGGCAACTCTGGGATCAGGCATGCAATACATCCAGATTTCAGCAGGATGCAGAAAGCTGTTCTGAAGAACCATGCCTGACTTGCATTACCCACCTCTAATGTTAGCTTTTTCATTTCCAGGCAAGGGCCTTTCTCCAGTGTTGGCGGTCTTCATTTTGCAGCATGCTAGGTTAGCCTTCTTTGCATGCAGCAGCAGGGATCTCAGTTTTTCCACCTCCATCTGCAGCTCATCATTCTTGTCATGCAGTTCCTATAAGCAGGCCAGAAAATGACAGTGAAGCACACAGAGCAGCTACTCTTAGATATATGTGGTGGGATAAACTGCAACTCCAGGACTTAAGAGAATGTCCATATTTGCTTATAAATCATTCTTATACAATTAGGATAACACAGAATTGGTAACTCCAGAATTGTACTTAAAAACGTCCACAAAGAAGAGAGGAAATTCAGCAATCACAGAACAAATAGCCACAGATTTCATCTAAGTCAGTTGTTTTCAACTCATAGCCTATGGGCCGCATGTAGCCCTGGACAGCTAGTAATGTGGCCCCACAAGATAATAAAAAAAGATTAAATAATAAAGAAAATTTATTATTTATATACATTACCTATTTTATATGCAGCCTAAGACAATTCCTTTTCAAGCCAAAAGATTGGACAACCATGATCTAAGTTCTTTTAAATACAAGTGGTTTAATGATGAGAAAAACCACTTTAGACAAGTTTTCAATGGTTTCAACCATCAACTGTTGCAGAATCTTCAGATAGGATGACTAAATCCTTTCAAGCTTGAGGACATGTTGATATCACACATTTCATTGCATCCAACAAAACAAAATAGAAGATAGAGAAAGCAACATGTATTCAACTCACTGCAATACCCTTTAACATGGGGGAAATCGTAGCAATATTGCTTGAACCAAAGATAAATATTTCAACGGATGAATCAAGCTGTAAACTCATTGATACAGCATAACATAAAGTTCTCTTCTCCCCTTTTTTCTATGGGTTGAATTTTAACAAGATAGGCTGACCAGGAGAGTAATTTATTTTTTTTTCTTTCAGGATTGGGAGAATAAAATTGGTGTTTATTTTAGGACACACATTACAATTTTAGTGAGTCTGATAGTACCCTCATTTTTGGCAATCATGTTTAAGAAGGGCATTGGGGGCTGCAGAACTAAAAACTCTCAGAGCCACAGCCATCCCTGGTTCCCCAACCCCCGAGCTGCAGCGCACTATCGGGCCTTCAGCCATTTGGAACAGGGCCGGGGTAATGCCCACCACTTTTGCAAATGGAGCTGCACAGGTGCACCAGCTAGTTGCGCAGAACCATCCCCTCCCCCCCCCCGATTCGCAAAGCTGGAAAGGTTGGAGAACTCTGCTGTAAACTAAATCTTTCATAGCCAAACAAAATTCTAGTTTGGTTTATTATATGTATAATAGGCATGTTTTCTTTGTCCTGTCAAAAAGGCACCTTCCTCTACTATGAATGAATTATTCCAGATGTTAGCCCCGCTCCTATGTCTTTATTATTAACTATTACACATTCAATCAATTTAGTCAGAATCTGTGTTTTAGGTTACAGTTCTGCAATCTGCATCCTCGCTTATCTTTTAATCTAATCTTGGAGAAGCCTGGTTTATTGAGCCAGCTTTAAAATATTCTTTAAAATGAATCTGGGAACAAACCTGAAGAAGACCTGGAAGATACAAGATAGAGGTTGAAAGTCTAAAGGGAGCTTTGCTGATGGTCAGTTTTTCGGTGCTACAAACACAACTCTTGCTCAGTCTCTTGAGGAATAAGAACAAGCTTCAACAGGGCTGACAAAAATGTAAAGCATCTCAAAGCAGCCTAAAAAAAAAGTCTGTCACTTTTCAGTGGTCCTTTTAATGTAACTGTGTACATGAACATTAGTTTTACTTAGAAAAAGGTTGTGATTGCTTTTTACAGTAATGTGTATTTATTGTGTATATGATTAAGTATATAAATATGGAGGAGGAACCCATGGAAACATCTTGCCATTCTAACTTAGTCTAACCTACACACAGAGGTGAAGATCTAAGAGTCCCATTGGTATAAATAAGGACTTCCCTTTGAGAACTAATATTCTGACCAGATATGGTGGAATGTAGTCTGAATTCCCAGGCGGGAGGGGCTGCATTCCAAAGGAACAAGAGACAGCCAAGTTTAGATAGTTTGATTGAGAGAAAGAGGGTCAAGTTAGCGCCTCCCTTGAGGTTTCTCAGAGTATATTTTTTAAGTGGTTTGCTTTAGTTTAGCAATATTTTTTACTATGTGAGGAACAATAAAGGAAACTGCTTAGAAGTAACTCTGCATGTGTTTCTTGGTCTTTGGGCCTGATACCAAAGCACACAAAACTTAGGAGTCTGCCAGTAGGTACAGGTCAAAGCACATTTGCTAGCTTCTAAAGATTCTATTCTGTGTGTAAAAAAACCATTTCCCTACATGAAGAACAAAGATTCCTTGTGCAATGAAAATACTGAACTGAGCCCAAAGAATTTTCTTCTAAATTCAAAAGCCCATTTTATACCAAAATTCTCCTAAAAATTTGCACATTCATGCAAGAAGAGCACAGGGAATCCTTTTTATTTAACACGGAATGTAATGCTATCCCACTTGTGGAACTGTCTTGGTGTAATCATATTTGTTTAGAAATGTAGGTAGTCCTGGACTTGCGACCATAATTGAGCCCCAAATTTATTTTGCTAAGTGAAACAGTTACTAAGTGAATTTTGCCCCATTTTACGATCTTTCTTGTCACAGTTGTTAAGGGAATCATTTCAGCTGTAAAGTTAGTGACACAGTTGTTAAGTGAATCTGGCTTCCCCATTGACTTTGCTTGTCAGAAGGTGGCAAAAAGTGATCACGTGACTCCGGGACATTGCAGCCGTCATAAATGTGAGTCAACTGCCAAGTGTCTGAATTTTGATCACATGACCATGGGGATGCTACGACGGCCATAAACGTGAAAAATAAGTCATAAGTCACTTTTTTCAGTGCCATTGTAACTTTGAACAGTCACTAAGTGAACTGTTTTAAATCGAGGACTTCCTATAATGTGTGAACATTGTTATGAAATGATACTATTATTTCCCATATTTATTTTTAACAATCCTTTAAATGAAACTAAACTACATAATGCACACATAATCAGACAGATGTTAGATCAATGCAAGACCAGAGACAGCAATTTCATTTACAAAAAAAAAAATCTTAAGAAACTGAAAATCCCATGCACAAGATCTTTAGCTTCCTTTTTTTCTTTTTTTAGCAAAATAAACATTTGTTTCTATTTAAAATCTGCCCCCATATTGGCAAGCACTAGCATTATAGTACAGCTGTTGAACCGAAAACACATATTCAAATATCAAACCGAATTAATTCTCAGAGGAGTCTGAACTTGCTAGAAATAATTGGTTATTTCCTTAGATAGCAAGGGACATATAGCTGGAATTTCTGAATGTTAAGCTGATTACGTTTAATACAAAGAGTATTCAATTGTTGTGTATATATATCATAAGGTACTTATGATATACACAACTCTTTAAAAAATGGCAAAGTTTTCAAGGTTATCATAACACTGTCAGAATGAAAGGCATATTCATTACAAACACAGAACATGAGCACACTTGGAAATGCAATGCTCACCTTCACCCTCTGTGATTAGGTAGGCAGCACCAAATTGAATGTATGGGGAAACAAAAAAAGGGAAGGGAATTGAGTGGATGATGGAATGCATGAAATAATACACAGGGTTCTTTTTATAGAACTCTCCATCAGCCTGCCACTTACCAATGGATCATTATGGTTTCTTTCCAGCAAAAAGCAGAGGAATGAAAATAACAGTAATAGAATATTTCCAGATATACATCAAACAACTAGGCACAGTGTTCTTAATCACTGTTGTAATGAAATATGTTTTTTTATGTAGCAGCTGATATGTTATTAGAGCTTTTCAGCTTTTAAAATTGGAGAGTTGCAAATCTTTAGGTATCAGGGCATTTACACATTTTCTGATTTCAACCACGTCATGTATCGTCTATGGCAGTGATGGCGAATCTTTTAGAGACCGAGTGCCCAAACCGCAACCCAAAACTCACTTATTTATTGCAAAGTGCCAGGGCTGCATCAGCATTGTGGTGCCCTCAGGGGGAGCAGGGAGGTGCCTCTGAGTGCTGCCTCTGGCACGCAAAAACCGGGGGCGCAAAAATGGGCCTGTGCTGCAAGGCGCAAAAACGGCTATCGCCACGTCGCAGTGTACAGGTGCAAGGCTCTGCACCACATAAGAACGGGGCAGGGCTTGTGAGTATCATGCAGGCACTAGCCCCGCCCCATTTGCAGCGTGTGCGTGCTTATAGCCCCGTGCGCACATGCATGCATGTAAAATGCTTCCCCCTCCCTTTTCTTCCAGTCCACCAATTGACAATGGTTGGTGACCTCTGCTCTACCACCTCTACTAGAGCTTGCTAGTCGGCCACTTTGCCTCCTTTGTGCTGGGTGGGGCTCCTGCTCCAGGCGGCGGCGGCGGCCTGATGGACCTGCTGCTGGCGGTGGTGGTGCGCGTGTCAACAGAGAGGGCTCTGAGTGCCACCTCTGTCACGCGTGCCATAGGTTCGCCACCACTGGTCTATGGAGATTCTCAGTCATCCAGGTCATGGTTGTCCCAAAGATGATTTTTCAAAAGGCAACTGAACATTTTGCTTCAAGGAAAAACAAAGTCCAGTTGCCTTTTGAAAAAGCACCTTTGGGACATCATTTATTATTCATTCTTTCATCCAAGGAACCTCCAAGTGATATATATAGAGCCTAAATTGTCTTGTATCCAAAAGATACTGACATGTGCAACATTTATCTTAATCTCCTGTATCTTTGCTACATTCCTATACCACAGCTTTCTCAAGACTTCTTCCCCTCAACTCTTCCTTCCTCACTCATCTGAGGTGTGATCTTTCTTCGTTCTCTATCATCACAACATCTCAAAAGATTCTTTTGTATGGGTTACTGATTTAATCTACATTCATTTGGCACCCGTTTATTCTTGACCCCATGTCCTCATATCATACAAATGTTTTGAATAATCCATTCCTACTCCATAAAATCTACTTTTATGTTTTCCACTCTCATTTTCATATAACAAAGTGGGCAAAATTATACTGTTCCATACAGCTATTTTGCTGTTTTGTATCCTAAGTGCAGCAGTATATTGCATATATAGTACCTCACTGTATATGGGTAGAAGGTAGGTTAATATTATGTTAATTTTCAAGGTAGCCTCCATATTAAATATTAGCTTGGCCTGAACAGTGGCATCATTATTTAGCAAAACCAAGCTTTGGTTGGAATTGTGGCCTATTGGCCAAGAAGTGCCAAAACTGATTATTATTGTTGTCATTATTAATAGGGATTGGTGCACATAGCACCAATATAACTAAAATTTATAACCTAGTCTATTCTTTTTCTATCTTACTAAAGATGCCTTAATAAGAAATCTTTTTATAAAGTTTACATACCAAGAAAATTATTTGAATGCTCAATGGGTAAATATTTTTTTCAGGTTGGCTAGCTGAACAAACAGTATCACCTGATATAAGACAGCTTTCTTTGTTCCTATTTCAAAACTGAGTTTTTGCAGTTACTGTATATATTGTTCTTCATTGAAAAAAATTACACTGCTGTTTATACACTTAAAATAGATGTTAATAAAGAAAATATGAGATCCAACACAAACATATTATACAATAACAATAATAAAAAGTATCAGCAGTATCCAAGGGCTGAATAAAAGGTGCATCCTAGCAGCTACAGTATTAAATGTGACTGATGATAATCAGTCATCAGTAAGAATTCCATAAAATGGGTTCTACAACCAAGAAAGTTCTGGGACAGATAACTACCTCCCAGGTACCAAGTACTAATAGCACTCTAAGCGTGGATCCTTTCAGTGACTGAAAAAGTACACATGGTAAGAGACCTAGGCTGAAAAAAAACAATTTACCTAGCAGACTGCATGGAACAATCTTCTTGGCATTAAGTGGTTTTATATCTAGATTAAGACGGTCCACTTTTAAGATTCTGTGGGCAATCTAAGAGCACCCACAAATCATTGGGAGAAAACACAGCTTTCCTTTCTGAAAGTCAAGAATCCTACGGTTCTTTTGGTGCCTAAAAATCTGAGAACAAACTATTAGGATCTAAACTAAATTTCATTTTTGATGTGCGCCGTTGTGCCCACAGTAAAAAAAATGACAATAAAGGTTATCTTAATCTCTTAATCTTATCATGATTCAGGTGGATTATTTCAATAGGCAGGAACATTAGTTTTATATTATTGTACAATAGATTTATTAAAATTCAATAGTAAATGATTAGCAAAACGGTTCCAATCAGTCGTTAGTAAAGGGAAGAGGGACAAAGTTGTGAAATATGGACAATTTCCTTCCTGCTCACCTCATTTCTGGCCTTCCTCAATGCATATTTATAAGGTTAAAAATAAACCACTTACCCGACATTGCAGTTCATACTCCTGAATGATTTCAGCAAAGCGTGCTTCTTGATCAAATAGCTCTGTACTGTATGGATCCAGTAATCCCACCTGAAGCAAATAAGATTTTTTTTAAAAGTAGATTGTTCCAAAAATGGAAAGAAAACCTTTGAAGTTAGCTCTAAAAACACCTTGAGCTACATTTTATTTTTAATTTATTTCATTTATAATACTATCCAAGTGTACAAAATAACTCTGGGCAGCATAGAGTAAAATCAGATCTAATGTACCAAAGTTACAGCAGAGGTTTTGTTGAGAAGCAGGTCAAACTTGTACACAAATCATTATACCGGAGGGGCTTTTTAAATATTTTTGTCTTTTTATTGTCCTTACAGACATTTTACCAATGTTTACCTGAAAAGTAAGAGATTGCTTTATATAAATACATATGTAACCATATTCAGAATAACTATTTAAAAGAAATTATTAAAAAACATTTTAAGAAGACCTAAACCATTTTAAGGCAGCATTTTTCAGCCAAAAGACTGAAAAAAATTAAAATTCTTCATGATGACAAACAAAAAAGTGAATGTTTATATAGGAGATACTATAGCTACAAGGCTATACATACAAGACTCCAACTCACTCGATTTTTCACATGAGTCAAATGGGCTTAGATTAGAAAAAGCAAAAAAAAATCCCTTTTCATCAATGTGGAATTACCTTGTCTTTCAAAATAAAATTAAGATCTCTTTGAAGTTTCAGAACTTGATTTTCAGATTCACTCAGTTTTTGAACCACTTCAGCAACTTCATTCTGTAAGCGACTATTTTCCTTTAAAAATACATTCACAAGAAAGAAAATGATAGAAAGATAAAATCCATGATGTCAAGGTAAATTTTGCAACTCTTCAGCAAGAAAGCAGCAGCACACTAAATATAGGAAAATCTATGTTCCAAACCAA